AATTTATGTATACGTTCTTAAAGAAATCCTGAGGGTGATTTGCGATCTAATGTACTGAAAAATAAATACTGCCTTCTCTGTTTAGAATTCATTCCCTTAGTTGTGGATATTTATAAAACTAGTTAAATCTCAAAATAAATCCTAGTTCTTCCTGGTAAAGACTCTACATTTGTTATTACAAGATGAACAAAAAATGCATTGATGTTGATGTCGTTTTACTTGATTCAACAACAAGATGCTTCCATCTTCTGGTGAGTTGCGTCGTCAGATTTGAAGTAAATTTAGGTTGTCAATTATTTCTAAAAGTATATCTATTTCATTTCATCGTATTAAATTACAAATACTAAATAAAATTTTGTTTTAAGAGCGTTTTCAAAGTTCTAGTGATGCTAATTGTAGATTCGTTTATTTCAATCCTGATTGTAACTTTTTCACCACACTGCTTAGAACGGAAACTAGAGTATAGCCCTTGCATCCGTGAGTTTCCACACTCTAAATGCAGTATAGATTTATTGGTCAAATAAAAATCTGCTCCACCCATATTTAACTCACGTAGGAGAGTATTTATTATTATTATTATTATCGTTGGCTGCTCTGTGATGCAACTGCTTCTAGGAATTTTGGTTAGCATTATAAGGGTAAGATTAAAACGAGGTTTAGTTACAATTCACATTTATATAACTTATCGATATATTAATTACCACGAACAATATCCAAAAGGCAGCGAATAATCCCCAATAAACATAACTAAACAACTTTGTGGTATTTCGGGATTTCCTGTATAACAAATACAAGTTGTAGCCGTAAAATATCAGTTTTTTCCCATCCATTTCCTGCTTAAGCGTTAATCCGTTGTTGGTTTTAACTTTTTCGTAAATTCTTATAAGATTTAAGTGTTTTAATTATCTTTAAGGATGTGAAAACAATCAAGTAAAAATTGAACAAATTATTGGTGTTTTCCGAAGATGTTACAGTTTTAGGCAAGTAGTATCACAGTGTTCAAATGGATTGCAGTTTTTTTCACAGATCAGGTTGAAATATAATGTAACCATGTATATCATAATAACATTTTGGAAAAAAACATTTTCTTTGAACCAAGACATGTTATCAGGTCATTATTTAATCACTGCAGTGTAATGAGCTTTGTAAAATTTAAGGGGTTGTTGGAGTCCTTCAGTCGTCGTCGATCCATAAGTTGTCCAAGTTACCACAATTAAAATGAACACAACGGGAAAGAAATTAACAATATGCGAAGCAAATGAGAGGAAAACATTCAAACAGTGAAGAAGGTATAAACATGGAGAATACAGTTCAAGTGAAACAAACTGTGCCAACGGCTCAAAAGTTAGAAATGGAGTTTAGCTCAGTATTTAGATAGGGGCAGAAAACAAACGCATCTGGCCCACTGCAGCAGGGTTTGGGCTTTTCTTGGATTTCATTAGACCATCGATTGTGATTATGGTATTAGGCCTAACTGGAATCATATTTTAATCATCAAAACCAAGTATAGCAGGCAGGAAATTCATGGATTAATGTCCTGTCTCGATCTGTCCATTTCTACCTTTGTTCTGATTTATTGCGTAACTCTAGTAGAGTCTGATAACGCAGCAGTAACACATTTGAGATTATTTCACAAACTATTTCATAAGGCAAATATTTAGGTATGTTACCATTTATGATGAAAAACTGTTTTCTCTTCAATACATTGTTTCTTTTTAGAAGTACCCATAAGAGGTTTGTTAAATGAAGTGAAGTCGTGGGCGCTGAAAGATAAAGCCAATTTATCTTGAAGATCGTTAAGATTTACAAGTTGCATGATGAAGATAATGTGGATGTTTGTTTAGTTTAGGGCATATTTTCAGCAAATAACAACTTCCTACTATCGCTTCCCTCACAAAGTTTAACTACCATAAAGTATAATGGCAAGTAAAACAAGTGTGTTCAAAACATGCATTTGATTTTGTCCTTGCTCACTTATTGTGAGTATATAAATATATGCGACGTAGTAGGCATAAACAGTAATTAAACAATGTGGCCAATCCACCAGGTTAGGTCTGTATGTTCATTCTCTAGTCACTGAGCATGTGAAAAATTTGTTGATAACACCAAGCTACCTGAATATGTGCAGAGTGAGGTGTTAGTACCTTCCACCCACCCAATCGTTGGAAGTCCAATGTCTTCACCTTTGAGCACTATTCCGCCGTAAAATTGTAACTCGACGTGCGTTTAGTTGGTGGAATTATCTGTTTTACCCTGAGTTTATCTATTACTTAATTAATTAAGAACTCACTGATATTTCAGCAACCCTAACCAACAAATAAAAATGTATAATTCATTAAACTGTTGTTTGGAAGCCTACTCTTAATGGGCCCATCATTTTCCTTTAGCTAATTAAATAGCTTTTTTAATCACCAAAGTAAGATGCTACTAAATGATCATTCAAAGTATGGTGCTGTTTAAAACGATCACAAACTTCCACAAAATTACATAACCCACTGCAAGGCAAAGTCAATCTGAAAAAATATTAGGTATTTTCACTGTACAAGTTAAGCAATACGATCACAAATTTACTTTTCCAGAAATTTAAGATCAAGACGCATAAAGATAAAGTGCATTAACATATAGCTATGGCTGAAAATATTAGATACGTAGGGCTTGGCGCACATAGAATCGAAGTTTTCGTATTGCATCTGGTGTTGAAAACGTATTGAGGATTACCAAAACATGTTCATAAGAGGAATATGTTGTTCAAATAATTGATTTTAGATATCACTCCGAAATTACTTTAGGTTGAATCTAAATTCTTTCATGTTTCTTTATGGCTGACAATGTCCATTGAGTCTTCTATTTTCGACAGCTACGACTGAGAGAAAAGACAATTTAGAAATCTTAATTACTACAGCTTTCAAAACCGTAAAATGTCTCCTCTTTAAAGTTCCAGTATAGAGATTTTAAATGTATTTGAGGTTAGCATCATAAACGGTTTTAATTGTGCGTTTGAATATAGAAGAACGCGATCGTATGTCTGCTGAAGTAGTCAAAAATTACGTAACTAATTTACCATTTCTTTAGATCAGAAGTGCATCAAAAATGAACTGTTTATCGTTGTTCTCTTTTTGATAAGTTAGATTTATCTCGTTTTGTACTTCATTAAGTCTATTCATGAACCTAACCTGCTCACCATCAATATTTTGTTCACGTTGTTTTCATACCAAGGGATCTTAGCAAGTATTACACGTGTCAGCTTTTCCACAAATTACATATGCACATTAGCTAAGAGTTGTCCCAAGCAGATATACGCAGTACTTTATCGATTGCCAGATATGGCGAGTAAGAAACGCTAGTTGTCTTCTTTTTGCTAGAACAGCTAAGTGAGGCTACATCTGACCTTATAATTTTAAGACCACACAAGAAACAAACTCACTGTGCTTTTTTGTTAAATATTTCACTTCGTAAATCAAGTATTAGTATAAACTGCTTATCAAACCGAAAACCTTGAGCGAAGGGCCACAAGCATTTATATGTTTTTCTGGCACTTTTAAAGTATAAAAGTTAATTAACTCCACTCAGTCTATGGTTTGAGATAATGATTTCAGATTCGATGGCCCTTTCAGTGTCTAGTAATCTTAGGCAAGTTCATGCTGTTGAATTTGTGGTGTGTGCTATTTATGTCAACATAAGTAGTCTATAATGCCAAGCAGGAGTAAAATGCCTGGCAGTAGAACGTTAAGAAAATCGGAGCGGAATGAACGGAAACAGTATGTAATTAGTATGGAGGTGCAGGAACGATGAAGTCTGAAACAAGTAATGAACATTTTGCAAATGAAGCATTGGAGTATGGTTTTTCTCTTTTATCAAGTAACTCTGTAATTTCGTGCCTAAGAAAATCAGTTGTCCTTACTTGTGTTCTCGTTCACTACATTATTACTTACCAAAAGTAAATTTCTGATCAATATACTATTAAACTGACATTATTTCGTATTAGTTCTCTTGTTTCACTTATTTTTTGTATTAGTCAAGTGATTATCAACTCTAAAACGGGGAAAGTACACAATTTTCAACATTTGTTTGCATGATATTGTAATTAGTCAAAACTAAAAGCCGACTACTTTTTCCTTAACTCTGTATTATAATTATTCGAAAAACAACTCCAACAGGTTTGGTGTTTGCTAAAATATATCATGTATACGTTACTAACTGTTATAGTTTTGATTGACTTCAAAACTCATAAAGTTATCGTAAAATATTCCAACTGAATAAAAAAAATTATTAGTCTCTTTTTTCAAAGTTATTGCCTGCTGGTTTTTCTGGATTTTAGACGTTTCGTCTATGTAAGAATAATTGATATTATTCTTATTACTTTGATACTTATAACAGTTTAGACGTGTAAGTACCTGACTGTTTATTATTAGTTACATTAATAATAGTATTTTTGACTTTGTAATGAAGAGGTATCAGTCAAATAGTCTAAATTAATTTTTGTTTGTATAGTAAGGAGAAGCTGATAAATTGTTAAGCAATGGAATAGTTTTTATCCCGTTAAAACCAGAAAAGTTATTTAGTTTAAATATAATCACTAAATTTTTAGAATTTAGGCTCTTGTAGAAACATGATCTATAAAATAATAAAGATCAGTTATGATTATTCACCATATTTTAGATTTCACAGACACAATAAATTGTATTAAAGCTCAAAGCTTTTGATTATAAGGCGAATTTTAGCATAAATAAATATACGTATCTATATGAAACAACTACCATATGCGATATAACATAAAATTTAGTATTTAGTCATTATTTTTTCGATATTAAGAAACTCGACTTTGGTAATCACAGCTTTTATTAAATATCTTCCATTTAAGCAAATAAATATTTTGCTATTAGTTACAGTTTTTCCTTTACATAATAATAAAGTCACTTTTCTTCGGAAATTTAACTGCTAATTTAATTTTCTACACAATCTGTTTTGTAGCCTCGTTCACCTGGGCATGAATTGTACACATGGTTGTTGAACATCTTCAGCTAGTAGAATATGATTATTTTGATTTAGAATATATTAACAAAGATGGTCTTCACGTAAGTTGCATTAAAGTGTTATTATATTGTACGTGCGCGCAATCGCAATAAATTCCGTTACTAGTATGTTTAGAAAGAGTTGTTTTGAAAAATGGAAGTTTGTGATTCGATAACGAATAAAATGATCAAATCTCTTATAAACTTGTCTTAATTCAGGTAAATATCGAAAAAATGTCAATTCGCATCTCAAAATATAGAACTCAGCGAAATGTGATCAATATATTCTACAGGTTGTATTATTTAGGAAGGTAATTATACGCAGTAAGTAGCAGTGTGTTCAGTCGCCAGACAAACATTATATTGTTTGTAATTAATGGTTTAATTGAGATCAATATTGTCTTCAAAGCGATGAAGATGACTTTCGTGGGCATTGGGAAAATACTTTGTTTTTAATATTTTTTTCTCTCAAAGAAACTCACTTATGATATGTGTTCTAATGAAATTATAAATAGGGTATTTTGTCATTTTTTTGAGATTTCATATAGGTATTGTGGTTTTTCAACCATCATATTACGTGCAACGTTTACCCAATAACTAGTATCTAATTAACAATGTATTGTATTTCTATATCTTTTGGGAATGTTAATTGTTCTCCAATTGAATATGTCGTGCGAGTTTACATCACTATAGAATATATATAAAAGTTGAACTTTTGTAGCTCACCTATCAGTTTGTTGAAATTTAGTGTAACAACACGTGCTTAGTGTTTCATATCTTAAAGTTCCTGATAAATTCGAGGAATAATAATCCAGTTAAAAATTTCTCCGAAATAAAGGTCCTATGAACTTGTTGTTTGTTACTTATTCTTATTATTTATTTCGTAAATGCTTTATGCCTAGGCTTCTATGTGTGAGATTGCTTCAGTACGAAAGTCTTTTTCTTGGTTGACCAATATTACCTCTTACTCTCTCTCCATAACTAGAGCAGTTCTGTGTATTAACATTCATGTTTGTAATGTCAGTGCTCGGCTTTACAACTCTGTTGACAATTCCCATCATTCATTAACTGAATTGATAATCCCTTCTTTTCTTTGGGTCTTGATCAGTTTAATTTTTTACTTGTTGACTGAGAAGTTTTTTCAGGTGGGTAAATGTTTGTGATTGGGGAAACATTTTTATGGAAGTAATAAAACATCATTTTGTTTAACAATTAACTTGTGTTTATGTAAGAAATAATGAAAAGGTGGCTATTGTCACTAACCCAATTACAAAATCAAGTTTCGGTTAACTGCTATGCATTTTCAAATCTATTTTACCTATCTATGTATTAAACTCTTCAATAAACATTATAAGTGACATTTTTGAAGATCATAATAACCAAGCAAAACTCTCTTGTATATTTCTATTGTAAAGATGACTAACCTGTTCATTTCACTCTATTAATTAATTTTATGTCATGTCAGTATTATCTGTTGAAATATCTTGAATACTTGGAAACATTTTAGAGATTTTGTTTAGTGCTTTATTTTTTCGTACTTTTAATGTAGCAAATAATATTTTAAAATATTTTTCAAAAGAAAAATCATTCAATTTATTTCGTAACTTTTCATAATTTTTGTCTAATTTTGTATTTTCTAGTGTTGGTTAGATCATTCAAAAGCAATAAATAAACAAATAAATATTTCAAAAAGATTTCTTTATTCTTTCGTCGTCAAGTTTTATACGCCTCATCCAAATTTATTAGAAGATGAACTGACCAGGTAAGTGAGTATGAACATACTTATGGATAGCTTCACTAAACGGCCTTCGATAGTGTAATATGTTTCTATTAAATCTAAGTTATGTTATTTATGTATGCATAGAATATTTTACATTCCCTTATTAGAATATTTGATTTGTTTTAATATGCTGTGTTTGTCAACAAAATTACCTAGAAAATACTTCGAAGTAGGAAAATGTTTTATTTTTTTTTGAAAACATACTTTACAATTATTTTGATAAACTAACTTAACAAGGTGTCCTGCGTGATTCTTAAATTGAAATAGTTTTGTTACAAAGAATATTTATTGTAATACATGTTTAGCCAAGAAAAACTGTAATTACTCTCATAGATACTTGATGTGAATAATTTTATTATGATGTATTAATGAGTTGATTGATTTTTCAGAAACATTGTTAAAGTTATCATCGTTTTTTTAAACTTGAACACTTAAATAGAAATATGATTTCTGTCAAATCTGATTGAGACATTCGAAAATCTAACATAATGTGATCTTTGAAAATGGTGACCGAATGACAAATTTTTTTATTTATTCTAACGTATAACCCATTTTGACAATTTTTCAAACCATTATCTACTTAAAATGTTTTAGTCGTCCAAACAATATATTTGTAAGGTACAAACCAACCACGTAAAAATAATGATGGAATGTGATAATAAGCGTGATTCAAGACAAATTACTGTGTATAAAGAACATAACTTATTTAACCGAAATATTATTTTACTTAATCGTTTAGATGCCAGACCTATTTATTTACAGCAAGTAGGTAGCAATGAGCAAAGGTCGAATTTCAGCTTATTTTCTACCAAACTTCGTAAGTCGAAGAATCGTGGACAAAATATATTTGTGGATATCTATTTTATAAAACTTTAATGATCTAAATGAAACAGGAAAAATAAAGTTTACATGATAAAATGAATCGCTTTTTATGCAGAATATTCTCTTTTGTCCATAACATACATTAAAATTGGTAAAATTCGAAAAATTAAATTGTTATTGAGAAAACAAAATCACGAAATCAATAAACGATATATATTGAAGTGGAAATGATTGAAAGATTAATATCGATATTTTGAGTTGATAATTAAGGCAATTTATTTATTCATCAATTAAAAGGTCATATTAACTTCAGTAGAATATCGGTATTTTATGCTTTACTTTAAATTAGATTTATGTGAAAAGTCTTTTCTCTAATTCCTTGACAAGGTTTTATTCTCAATTGAGTCAACAGACGTTCAGCTTGATAAATGAACGAATAACCTATCCATTTTACTCTTAATTTTTGTAATGATAACATGTATTGTTATGTAACGATCTTGTTACGATTGTCTAAGTTGGGATCCTGTTTTATTAAGCTAGTATTCTTCTTAAGTTAATATTGTTTGTTAAGAAATTCAAACCAAACTTTTCGAAAGCATATGATCAACGTTGTGAAAATAAATAACTTTATGTATAAATTAATACATAGACATTCACTTTCATTTTTTGCTTATTCATTAGGCTTTACATATCTAATATGTTTTTTCTCAATAGCAACTGTAGTTTTTCGATTTTGTTAATTTGCTTTATTATTTCAGGCTGTTTGGATTGAAAGAGAGCTTTTACAAATTTAAAGATGCATTTAATTCTCTAATCCTTTAATTTTTGTTGTTTTGATGAAATTTATCAAAAGCCATTAGTAGTCGCTAATATATTTTACATTTATTATCAAAACAAAAATTTTGATCTTTTGCCAACACTACAAACTGGTTAGTGTATCTTATTCTTGTCATCCATTTACTAAACTGATTAACTGTCAACACTGATTAGTGCTTCATGATCGAATGAATTCTCTCTCCGGTGTAATATTCCACTCATAATATACATATGCCTATATCTATACATGTTATTGAAGTGAATTAAAAGAATAATATTCGTATTCAGGAAGATTTTAATAAATTTCATATATATATATCTTATTTATATTCGTGTACTCTGATATAAAAAAAAAGAATTTTTAGTGATGTGCATACATTTTATTTATGTCTTATTGCTTCTTTTATGAAAGATAGCTATTTAAATAGTGTTTTTTCCCAAATTATACTATTTTCTAACTTAATTTACTGATTATTTTCAGATATCTATTCGCCTTACAAATCAAAATTGATTTACGTTCTGGTCGATTGCAATGTAGTGAAAGTACTGCTGCTCTTCTAGCAGCATTCATTGTACAAGGTAAGAAGTAATAAATTTATTATTTTGGTGCAAATACACTTATGTGTATATTGTAAAATTATTTATGAAAGGTTACATTTTCATGCCAGTTTTTATTTTTACCCAAAAATATTATTTGTAATGCATATTGTTTTACTTGACATCGGAGATTTGTGGTAACATCTCACCACTGACTAAGTCAACTAATGTTACAAATATTTTGAAGTCTTATATAATAATAATAATAAAAACCGGTTATTTCTATAGTTTTAGCTTAAAACCCAATGTCGATAAATTATATTATTGATTTTTATAGCAAGTATTTACTTTCTAATAATATCTTTATAATAAAATAATATCTAGGGCTCATCAATGTTTATAAAAATTGCCTTTAGTCAAATACAAAGTATTACCACGTTTTTTCGTGTTGTTCTGTTGTACTATTTAAACTTGGATTCATTTTAATTTGATTATTTATACTCTGAAGAAGTGACTTACACTGAGTCACGAAACATCAGAAGAACCAATTTTTCTACTCATTGGGATATTACAAATATATTACTTTTATTTATTTATTACCACTTTTGTTTGTAAAAACGTTGTGTTTTTTTTGAAATTTCTATACTGCAACTATTTATTAAAATAATTTTCATTATATTAATAAATGATTTAAGATTGTTTTGATATTGTTTAATCATAAAATTCTTGTTATTTATGCATAGATTTATAGATTTAGTTATTTGTATGTTATTTTAGCTAAATAAATTTATATTGTAAGTAGTAGGTTGTTTTAATTAAGGAAATAAAAAAACAGAATGAAGTATTCTTTTGTAATTTACATCTAATTGAGAATTGTTAATGATAATTTTCCTCAAGTATCTCTGTTCAAAGTTTTTTTGTTGTAGATTTCATTTCTTTTAGTCATATATCTAATGAGGTAAGATTCATTTTAATGAATCTATTAAATAAAAATGAATTGTAGTAACAAATTTGTAAACATTTATTAGTAATTAGTAAGTTAAGGTAGACCAAAATATTGTATTTGTCTATTGAATAATATGTGATTTCATTTCTTTTTTAATTAAAACATTAGACCAAATATAGTAAGTAGAAGGGTGTATTACAGTTAAATTGGTCTTTTACAAACTATTTCACTTACATTTGTTTAGTTAATCGTATTAATCCCCTCTTCTTATCATGTTTTTCAGGTTGATTTTAGGAAAAAGTATTCTGTTTTAGTCTTTGACACAAATAATTGTTTAAGATGATAAGTTTGCTTTTGATTGTGATTATAAAGATTAATATATGGTGATCAATTACTTTTTTAAGTTAAATTAATCGGAGTAACCAGTCAGGAGAGCTTTTGTTTGTAGTATCTCATCTGGAATCAAAATATAATGAAACAAAATATCAGGTTAGACCGTTTAAGGGTTTCAGAACTTTATTGAGTAAAACAATAAATAGTCTGTGATCACTACGATATTTATCTATTTCCACACACACTGTAATTGATTTACAGTGATAATCTTGTTCTTAATTAGTGATTACTGACTTTCTGCTAACCACAGTACTATACATTGTTTAAGTCAATTGACATAATTTCCACATTGCAAAATTGAACTGTAATAATTGGTTAATATTTAAGACTAAAATCGTGACATTTTTCGTATAACACTAACGTCTTAGTATAAAATATGCAAAATGTTTTCTTAGTTTGGTTACAACTGACTACATGTGTCTGAAAAATGTACGTTGACTAGTGTCTACTATCTTTTATCGCTTCAAAAGAAAATGATATTTTTGAAACATCTGTAGTGTAAAAAGCTATTGCCAAAAGTGAGTAATATCCTTCATTATTATTAAAATGGATGTCTTAGCCCTTATAGTTTTCTTGTTTATATCATTCAGACAAAACACATACCAAGTCTAAGATTTTTTGATTGATTATCATAGCAATAGAAACAAACTTTTGATGTATAAATAAATCAGCGACTTGTAAATGTTTATACATTTTAGTAAAAATATAGAAATATGCTACCCTTACATACTGTTCTTTCGTCAATATTAACACTGTGTGAATGTGTTTCTTTATTCAGAGAGAAATAATATTTGTGTTTCCTTAATTTGTTTTCCTTACCTTTGCAGTATTTATTGTGGTGTAGCCTCTGTATGATTACAATATTAGTCTTGATAAACTAGGGGATTAAGTAAATTGTTTTGTTTCTACAATTTATGGTGAAATTCAGTCTTTATAGATGGTTTAGTCTGATGATGAAGTCATTTTATATAAGGAAGAAAATTCAATATGTTTCATCAAAGAAGAATGGTGGACTTTTATCTCTATATATTTATACATTAATGCATTATGTGCAAGTATGTATAGGATAACATCAACGTGCTATTTGTTGAGTTGGCTTTCCGAGAACTGCAACGGAGCCTCCAGTAGCCCTAAAGGAGCCGAAGAGTCCTAGCCAGTCAGAGCATGATGGAGCTTTCTAGAATATCAACGTGCCGTGCTACTATTGGTCAGTAGCACAATATGTCTTTTAGCGGATTGGCCAAAATATGATGTTGATTTAACGAATGTTAACATCTATAAATACCCGTGTTTTTTCTGTACGAAAATGAACCTTTGGAGTAAAGTATTTTTCACTTATTTTGCGCCTTTTCTCTCGAGTTCAGGTCGATGCGTAGTTTTAGCTTGCGAGTTACTAGAATAGCTTAGGAACCGAATAAAGCGTTCGAATTAACAAGACTTATCAGTGGCGACGGGAAAACGACAATGAATATTTCTTTGGAGCAACTAGAAGCTTATATGGAGCGTCAAGAGAAGAGATTTGAACAGTCCCAAATCAGAATCATGGAAGCATTGATGCAGAAATTTTGCCTGTCCCAGCAAGACGCTGCTTTTGGTGAATCACAAGTATCTCATACCGATTCAGTCATTAATGCTATTCATGAATTTAATTTTGACGGTGCAGCAGATGTAACTTTTGATTCTTGGTCTAAGAAATATGAAGATTTGTTTTATATTGATCTCTGCAGAGTTGATGACGCCTCAAAAGTTAGAATACTTCTAAGAAAACTTGGGACGATGGAACATGAACGCTATAGTAACTTCATTCTCCCGAAGAACCCACGAGACTTTAGTTTCGATGAAACAGTTAAAACCCTGTCTCAAATTTTTGGAGAACAGTCATCTCTATTTATTATCCGTTACCAATGCTTGAAGATAACGAAAGAACCAGGAGATGACAAGGTGAAACATGCAGGAATTGTGAACCGAGAGTGTGAGAGGTTCAAGTTGTCTTCCATGACTGAAGACCAGTTTAAATGCCTAGTATTTATCTGTAGCCTGCGTTCACTCAAAGATGCTGACATCCGAACAAGAATACTAAGCAAGCTCGAACATTGCCCCAACATGACCCTGCAGAAAGTAACTACCGAATGCCAAAGGTTAGTGAAGTTGGAGCATGACACGTCGATGGTAGAGAGCGGTAACCGTTTCCCTTACGTCAATGCAGCCGAGAGACAAGTCTCACAAGGTTCCAGCACGCAGAATTATCGTAATGACAGTGACAAACCATCATCTCTATGCTGGTCATGTGGAGGTTGGCACTATAAGAGGTTCTGCCCGTATCAGCCCCGAAACTTGGAGGAACATTGGAAGGCCCACAGTTCTCCCAACAGCACACCTGGCACACAGTGATTCTGGAGGGGAAGTTAAGTATTGTTGGAGAAGTGCACTGCACTGTTTCTAAAGGTACTGTAACAACAAATGCAACAGTATATCTTACAAAGAAGCCAGCACTCGACTGACAACACCTTAGAATGGAACCAGAGATATGCCGTGCTACAGACACCACAACGTGTTTAAAGAAGGATTGGGGAATGTACGAATGTCAAAGCATTGTTAACCCTAAAACCTGCGGCTACTCCCGTCTTTCGACCTAAAGGACCTGTAACTTATGCTGCTATTCCAATAGTTGAACAAGAATTACAATGGCTTCAGGAAATTGGTGTTATCGAACCTGTGAACTTTTCGAACTGGGCTGCACCAATAGTGGTCGTCAAAAAGTCGAATGGAAGTGTCCGTCTATATGCAGACCACTCTATCGGATTAAATGAAGCTCTAGAGTCTCACCAGTACCCTGGTATGGCCGAGAAATGCTCTCACACGGCCACGCGTATACAGCCTCTGCCAGGGAAGTCCTACTCACTGCCTTCTCGTGGCGGGAGTGTTGTTTACAAAAATGAGAGGACGAAAAGCGAATGTCCGGCGCTTTAACCGGATCCCAAACCAATGGTGCATATGGACTCCAGTATCCTGCGGGGACAAATGGCCTATGAACTAAGCTTTGGTCACCGGCTACCATGGTAATGCATCTCCTCACGATGCTCCACTGTCCTGTGGGTCAGACCTTTAGGTCAAAGGCTCGGGGCGTGGTCCCCTAAGAAAACCACCTGCTTCGGTCTGGGCACCCGGGCAGTATCACAGCCCACACACAAATCAAGTGACTTGTGTGGCGCATATATATTTGGTGCCCTCTTGTACCAATATTTATGTGTTCAAATAAATAAATAGTATCCGTTACCCTTACCGGAAGATCTTTTCGCTAAGCTGAACGGTGGCAGATTTTTTGCGAAATTGGACTTATCAAACGCATATCTACAAATCCCGGTATCTGATGAAAGCAAAGATCGTCTGACGACCAACACACACAAATGTCTGTTCCGGTATAGCAGACTACCTTTCGGGGTGAGGACGGGGCCCTCTATTTTCCAGCAAATTATGGATACCATGTTACAAGGTATTCCAGGGGCAGCAGCTTATTTAGACGAATTCATAATGATGAAAGCGGACAAAATGGATCTGGAGAAGAAACTGGACCAGATACTAGAACGCATAGCCGATTATGGTTTACAACTCCGAGCGAAAAATTGTGACTATACGCAGCAACTACGGTGCTTTGGGTTCATAATGGATAAAGACGGAAGACGACCAGATCCAGAGAACATTA